CAAAAGAGCCCTTAAGAGAGGTGGGCAGCCCAGGACTTAAATACTGCTTTTCAGCCCTAGCCGATGTGGGACTATTTGTCCGCAACATTCTCCTCCACCCAATCACGTGATGCCCTCGTCACGGATCGGCTCAACCGAGGGGCCCATTGGACCATGGAGAGTCCACACACCTGACAGGCAGTAATCTGTTCTGATACCACTTGTCATCTCCAAAAGAGCCCTTAAGAGAGGTGGGCAGCCCAGGACTTAAATACTGTTTTTCAGCCCTACACCTAGCCGATGTGGGACTATTTGTCCGTGACATACGGCTGTGAAAGGTATGCGTACAAATATATGGAAGCAGTCGTAGGCACAGATCCTGTTAATTGGGCATGCTACAAAACCTGACAGAATTTTAAGGGCCGAGTTTGTGTGCACTTTATATTGTCTTACCATGAAATGATCATTCTTGAACTTTTTAATAGCTAAACGCTTATTGAGTGTTGAACTTGTTTTGTGGAAGTTAGAATTATGTGTTTTAATATGATATCAAAAGATGTTGATAATTCAATTCCATTTTTTTATTATAAATGTCAATTTTACGTAATGTTGAAGTGAAAGCTTTAATTAAGAATCTAGCTGCCCCGGTACATGATGGTTATGAAGTTTTATGTTAAGAGTTAATATAGAATAATGTTGAATTATTATAAAAAGAAAGGTATAAAGAAAATAATAGAAATGAGAAAAAATAATAATAAAAAAAGAAATGATTTTGGAGATTTTAGGAAAAAATTTATTTTTTCTGGAATTCTATATATTGAGTTCAGTTTTATGTAAGCATTGAGGCTTGAATGAGGAGATTTTTTGTAAGATAAAACTGTTATTTTAAAGTTAGTTAATTTATAAATAGTTTTAGCTCGTCAGATATTACGTTGATGATTATTTCAAGCAAGAGAAAAGAGTGAATGTATGATTATGTTTAGGGTTGTCAAAAAAGCTCATTGTTCGCGAACAGTTTGTGTTTGATTCATCAATGAGTTCGTGTTCGATTCGTTCGATAAGTAAACGACACAAAAGTAAACATTTTTTTTTTCGTTCGGTTAGTTAAACGAACCAATCACGAATAGTGATGTGTTCATTTGTGTTCAAATCGTTATTGTTCAAAATATAAAATAATTTAAATTAATTATATATAAAAAATTTATGTTATTTTATAAAATTAAATTTTATAAATTATAAGATATAATAAATTAATAAGAACACTATATTAATATATTATATTAATAATATACTAATATAGATATTATATATTAATATAATCTACGTTTATAATGAATATAATATATTATTTTTATATATTAATATTAGGGATGTCAAAGTGACTCGTCGTTCGCGAACAGCTCATATTCGGCTTGCTCGTTAAGAAACGAACACAAACAATGACTTCACAAACAATTTCAAACATAAGTTTATTTTAAACAAACTAAATTTCAAACAAATCGAACACGAACACAAGCTCTGTTTGTTCATGTTCAGTTTGTTTACACCTCTAGTTATGTTAATTAAAGACTAATTCTATTAGCTATAAATTTTTATGAAATTTGTTGTAAACTCTATGGTTCATTTTGATGATTTAAATCGTTTCATATCAATAATTATGATGAATCTATTTAGATAATTATAAAAAGGGGTTTTTTTACATACATAGCTCCCAAAAACTTTATATTCACCCCATATCAAAACTTTCATAATTATAAGTCTCATATAAAAGCTAACATTCATTATCTCATTTTTAATAGTCATTCATCTTTTCATCTGCTATGTGTATAGAAATGTAATGTAAGTAGGTGTGAGACGAGGAAATACAAAAAAATCGAGTGTTATGTATGTAATTTTCCCTGTAAATCTTAGAATCTGTGCATAGAAGCTTTATAATGATTGTGATTTAAAGCCTTTACAGTAAATCTTAGAATCACTAAATCCAACTTCTAACAAGTATATGACCTCAACAAATAAGTAGGCCTCCATCATCCTTCCCACCTTAATAAGACTTCTCGACTCAATTTTCTTATTCTTTTGTCAGGATCAAATCAGGTGAAAACTTCATAGTATAAAATGGTGCTAAAATTATAAACAAAATTAAAGATGATTTTTTATCGGGATGTTACATACTAAACACTCAAAACATTACTATTTACAAATCTAGCAATCTCTTTCGTCCATTTTTCAAATTCTCACTCTAATATCGAAATTCATGATAAAAATCAACCCATAATTTTCATTTTTTATCATATTTTTAACCCTTTGATCGTGACACGTGTAAATATATCACCAATAGAGTGTTGTCATGATCAAAGCTCAAAACAATTTCTCATAATTTTCATTTTTTATCATATTTTTAACAATTTGATCGTGACACGTGTAAATATATCACCATTAGAGTGTTGTCATGATCAAAGCTCAAAACAATTTCAGAAGAAATATTCCAGATTTAAGTTTTCTTTTCTGTATTGACAAACTTAGATTATATTAATTAAAACATCTTGCACATCCGAACCAAAATAAGAAACTGAAAATTTTCTGATAAGATCTCAACCAACTGTGCAGATAAAAAATGGAATAATAACAAGTAATAGAACTTTACCTGAAACATGAATGGTGCTTCCCTCAAAAGCATGGCTGATTGCTACACAAGCATAATGAAATTCTCTTCAATTTCTGGGACATGAGCATGCCCGGAAAATTTATACATTTGAATTTAAACTGGAAGGGATTATTAAAAAGATATAACCACAACAGTTTGGATAATTATTCTTCCAATATATATTTCTTATAAAAATGGCAACTATTTCAGCTGCATGAAAGCTACAACAATGCAAAACTGATTTTGAAGAATATAGCATTAACAGGTTATGGAATTTTTAAGATTTTCACTTGGAGTGAAACTTTCTGCTTACTGATTCATAACCAGGCACATGAGTAACTGCAAATGAAGAAAAATGGTAAACATAAAGTTTGGTCAGGATAGGTCTCACAGCTGTTGGATTTGCTTTGAGATTAGTGTAATAATTAAAATCTGATCAGCCAATGGGTGCATACCATCTCCGAAAGAAGCCAATGTGAGCGGCGAGGAAATTATCTTTTCGGTAAGAGAAGCAAGGTCTTCCAGAGTAACCTCATCAACTGCTTTAAGGAAATGTTCAATAGGTTTCCTGCATGGTAAGCAGTAGTTAAAAGGGAAATCAAAACTGAAACAGACCAGGAAAAAATAAAAAAATTTCTGCTCAGTAAATGCTTCTAAAAATATAAAATCAGTAAGGGACAATAGTCTGAACTTCCAACTTCTAAGTTGTTTAATTTGTTACAGCTCAATATAGAGAACAAGAGAAACTCAAATAAAACTATGAACAGAATCTCCCAAAAAACTCTTTAAAAAAAAATCGTCTAGAAGAAATAGGGTCACTCTCAATCCGAGATTCTTAATGAACCCTTTAATATCGTATAATACACTAAAAAGTTCACCCCTCTTAAAACTTAAATGCTTGATTAAATTTTGTTATTAATCATATTTTTAATTTAATAATTAAAATTATAATTATAATAATTTTAAAAGATTTAAGAAAGAGAGTTTTAAACCTATCATTCATTTTTCATTCCACCACCATCTTCTTAAGGCCCCGTTTCAGATCACTTCTACTTTTTGTTTTGATTTTATTTTGTTTATGTTTTGATTTGAATTAAAAGATATTTGGTAGTTATAGTTGTTTTTAAAAACACTCAACAGATTTTATGTGTTTTGAGTGTTTTAAGAAATAAGGTGAATTTACTTTTTAAAATAAAATATAAAAACATATAACAAATACACTATCCAAATATATTTTCAAAAACAAAACTAAAAACAAAAACAAAAACGGAAAACAAAATGAAGCCAAAGGGGCTCTAAAATTTTGGTTCTACTAACAGGTATAGAAGAAGTAAAAAAGTACAGTAGATCTAGCGCAACATAAATGCAGGGTTAATGTACCATTTGAGTCACAAAGTCTAAAACTACAATCTGTAGAATACAAAATTCGGAGAATGACTACATATGACAAAGAAATATGTTGTGCAGACGGTATTTACTATATTCTGCTCCCACCAGTAAAACTTCGATATGGCTGATATGGCCGTTAAAGTAAGATTTCCATTATATGCATTAACTTCATATGAACATTTTTAATCTATAAGATGTAGCCTGTAGGCATTAAAAAAGAGGGGAAAATTACATAGATAGCCCTTGCAACATGGCTATTTACAAAATTAACGCCCAGGTGAAGTTTTTTAACTGCCAAACCAATGCATTTACAAAAGCCGCATCAAAACATTGAGGATATGATAAAAATGAAAAATATCAGTTGGGGTTTTATCGAGTATTTTGTTATTTGAGTAAAAATTTGAAAAATGGATGGAAAATAGTACTAGTTTTACATATAACAATATTTCGAGCATTACGTACCCACCCTACACACTCCTAAAAAAAAGGTTGCCTCAATTTTTAATTAACACAATTTTAGTTGTCAGCAATTTTGCATATAAAACAGCATAGAGTGACCGCTAAAATATCATTATTTTGCACAGATTTGGCTCCAAAATAGGCAAAATACATCTAAACCGTCTGGCAAACTAGAGTTGACTTGCTGAATCTGCTGTGTAGCAGTACAATCACCATTTTTTTTTTCTTCCCCATAAAGTTTCACTAGAGCCACGGTGATTTTAATCTTTGTGGAATTCAAGTAAAAACAAGTATTCTCAAGACCCACTCGGAATAAGTTGATATCATGAGAGGGCGAGGATTCAAACATTAAAAAAAGGCTCCAAGGTTGTCATTGTTTACTCCATCATCTATATACAAGGAAGAGAAGGGCTCACTCTATCTATCCAAATATATAAAAACAAATATTTGTCCCACAAAGGGTTTGTTTAGGTCAGCTTTCTTTGCGCGGCATGGCCCCAAACCACGATTTTCTTTTTTGTTCATTTGAAAAATGCGGCGTTGTGGCTTTTTTAAAAAAATCGAACGAAACGTAGGTCGTGGGGTACGTTTCGTATTAACTACTCACCAGCTTTTTACTACCCTACCCCCTCTCTCGCCTCTCTCACGACCGAGCTGAGCTTCTCCGTCCCCTCTCTCACAACCGAGCTTCTCTCTCTCATCACCCTAAAGGTAAGATCCCCGCTCGCCTCCTCCTATCCGATCCATGTATTATGCTTCGTCTTTGGTTGGATCTTTTGCTCTCCTTCGGCCTGCGGCATTATCTTTCAACTTTTATTTGGCATTATGATTTTGCGATGGTTTTCTGAACTCTATTCGGTCATTGATTTTCAATTGGTTGTTTACTGCCGCTGGATTTTGCAATTTATGCGATTTTGGTTTTTCTAATTCATGTGATTTTGCATTGGTGTTGGACTTTCTTCATTGGTGATGGGGTAATGGTCTTCACTATGGATTTGGTGGTAGTGGATTGCTGCTACTATTGGCGGTCGATTGTTGGGGTGGTTGTGTTTGTGGTGAGGTGACTGTGTTGTGGGTTGTGGTGGTTGTGTTGAGAGCTGGGTGGTCGTGGTGTTGTGTATTGTGGTGTGGTAGTTGTGATGTGTGTGTGGGGTGTGGGGGTGTGGTTGGGTGGTTGTGGTGTGTGTGGGTTGTGGTGGTTGTGTTGTGGGTTGTAGACTTGTAGTGATTGTGTTGTGTGTGGTGGTGGAAATTATTTTGTGCGTTGATAACTCCTATATTTTCTTTAAGAATTTTTTTAAGGAAAACTTCAATGAGTACTTTTCAGTGATTATCATCAATAACATGGAAACATCATCTTCATTATCTCTAGGTAAAGGCTTGAAAATAAATTCTTATACAACCCCACAATAATAAGATGCAACAAGAAAATAAAATCATTTTATTAATGTAAATTTAAAGCATATTTTTCTAACTTTAAGCAGCCAAATGAGCCTACAAAGAATTCTCTTAAGATGTTGTGGTGGTTGTGATGTGCGGTTGTGCTGAGTGTTGTTTTCTTGTGGAGTTGTGTCTTGTGGTGTGTTGGTTGTGATATAAGTATGAGGGTGTAGTTGAGTGGTTGTGTTGTGGGCTATGGTGGTAGTTGCGGGCAATGGTGGTTGTGGGTTATGGTGGTTGTGTTGTAGATTGTGGTGGTTGTGTTGTGTGTTGTGGTAATTGTGCTGAGAGTTGGGTGGTTGTGGAGTTGTCTTGTGGTGTGGTGGTTGTGGGATGTGTGTGAGTGTGGAGGTGTGGTTGGGTGGTTGTGGTGTGGCGGCCTTAGGCTGAGTGGTTGTGTCGTGGGCTGTGGTCGATGTGTTGTGGGTTGTGGTGGTTGTGAGAGTTGGGTGGTTGGGGGTTGAGTCATGTGGTATGGTGGCTATGGGATGTGTGTGGTGGTGTGGTTGGGTGGTTGAGGGTCTAGCAGTGTCCTAGGTTGTGGTAGCGGTGTTATGGGTTGGGTTGTGACTCTGGTTGTGTTATGGTTGCTGTAGAATGTGTGTGGAGGTGTTTTGTCTTGAACTGTGGTGGTGGAGGTTGTGGGTTGTATTTGTCTGGTTGTCGTGGCTAATGTGTGTGTTGTGGCATCTGTAAAAAATTAATATTGTGTGATATGCCGACGTATTTTTTTTCGAAGTGGGTAAAGATTATAGTTGTTATAATGACTCTCCACAACTACATTCGACGACATCATTCTCAAACTGATGTAAACTTCAGCATGACTATCGATGATCATTTACACGTCCTACCTAAAACATTTGAATATCACAGGGCAATCTGTACAACAGTCAGAAGTAGAATCACAAGAAAATTGCACCCAGGATGGCGAAGGAGATGGAGAAATGATTGAATTGAGAGAGCGGATTACAGACGTTGTTGTTGGATGTTGATTGGACAATCCTTGTTTATTTTTTGTTCCTTGTGTATTCGATATTGTTTGTTTAGGTTTTTTACGTTATATGTAGTTTTTTTTTTTTCTTTTGTGGGTTTGAGAGGTTCATGATGAGACGTTTGACCTTATGGATTCTTCTGGATGGTCTGTTAATCGTAGTTGGTTGGTGTCACATGTGAAATCCTAATGAAGACAACCAAGTTTCTCTCTTCTTTTTGATATTGTGGTTTTTTAGGTTCTTCCGGATGACCTTTTTTTGGTGATATGTGTATGTGATACACGAGCTTGATATTACGTGGGTTAAAGGCAAACGAAAACCTTTTTTTTATAAGGTTTGTTGTCTTCTTGTAGTGATAGATTCATTAGTTGGTGCATTGAGTTTTATGAGACCTCACGCCTATTTAAAAATGTAAATAATTACTTATTTTTTCAATTTTTGCTTGTTTATTTTATACAGTTCTCATATATTTTTGTTCCTTGTACATTTGATTATGATTATTCGGGTTTTTTATGATGATTTTAAGTGTTTTTTTTTCTTTTATTTTACTTTTGGTAGGTTTGAGAGATCCATGATGAGACGTTAGACCTTATGAGTTATTCTGATTGTCGGTATTAATTGATGTCACATGTGAAATTTTATTGAAGAAAACCAAGTTCCTCTCATTTTTTTCGGCGATACGACTTTTGAGATTCTTCTGGATGGCCTTTGTTGGTGATAAGCATATGCGACACACACGAACTTGGTATTACGCGAGTTAAAGGCAATCAAGAACACTTATTTTATAAGGTCGGTTGTTCTTTTGTAGTGACTGATTTGTTGGTTGGCATATTAAGTCCCTGAGACCTCATATCTATACAAAACTGTAATTAATTACTTCTTTTATTAATTTATACGTGTTATGACTATTGGATGTTCTTTTGAAACATTCAGAAAAGATGAGTTCAATGATTTCAGGGACATCTCAAGGAGATAGTTCTACAGGTGCCCGCGGAGAATCACAGACAAGTATGACTTCTTCCGGTGGGCAAACGGCTGGTAGATTCCTCCGTCGAGTGATCTGGAATGGCTAGTCTCCCTGGAAAACGGTCTGGCTCGTGACATACGCCGCCTCAATTTTAAAAATAATATTATCATAATATTAAATCTTATTTTAACAGTTTTTTTTCTTTATTTTAGTAATGATGACTCACTATTAAATGGGGTATATATCTTATTTTTTTTGCATTATTCTTAAATAGATTTTAGTTTCTAAAGTATTAAATATATTGTTATGACAGTTTTGTTGCAAAAAACATTATTATACTGACAGAATAATCATTTGTTCAAAAAGAGTTGTGTTGCAGTTGTTTTCAAACATAAAAAAACAAACAACAGTTAGTTTATATGCAGCAGCTTCTACGCACCAGCATTCTGGGGCAGATGCTGTGTAGCAGCTTATTAATAAGTTGCAACTGCCCCAAACAGACCCTACACTGCATGAATTTATTTTTCTTCGTTGTGTTCTATTGATTGACATGCATTTATCTATATATTTATATATGTGTGTGAGGGGACGTGCGTGCGCATAAAACCAAAAAAGAATTTTTTCAACAAAATTTCAAAACACCAATAGTGTTCCATTTCATAATAGAGTTGCCCCATAATTTATATTTCTTATTTCTTAATAGAAAGGAAATTTCAATTCAGAGTTATCATGAAAAATAATAAAATACAATCCATATAATATCTACATCTATATACACACTATGACTTCTAAATGAAAGAAAATTCTCTCAAAATCACCAAAAAAAGAAGAAATCTTCATTTTGAAAATACAAACTTCTTGAAAATGTATTTATTTTTATTAATTTAATGACAAGGGATTTATTTTTCATTTAAAAGTGAACATTAAAAATTCATAGCACGACCAAATCTATCAAACATCCATTTAATCAAGAAAAAATGCACAACTATAATTATAGCATTATCTCTTAATTAAAAGGCATCATTCTCTTCTCTAATTATTAAAACTTATATCTCAATTTTAAATTTAACTTTAAAATGTTATTAAATAAAAAAATAGATGGTATATTTCAACATTAAAGTTTTATAAAGTAATAGATTAATTTGAAAATGAGATTCTTAAATATATCTTACAGTTTAAGGTAAGCTAATTAATATAAATAATCAAATTGAAAAGAAATTTGTTTCTACAGAGTATTAAAAGGTTTAAACTAAACCTAAAACTAAGTTTTATTATTTTTAAATTAAAATAAGGTGCAATTTTAATTAAAAGTAATTCCAAATATAATTTTTTAATCAAGTATATATTATTCATTAAATTATTTAAAATATTAATGACATTAATTTATCATATTATCAAAATAACTTGATGATTTATCAAATTTATCATTAATCTCAAATGGTGATTATGTAATGCCAATTCAAAAAGACATACTTAAATTTTCTATTAAATTTTTACTCCATCTTTCGTGCTGCTCAAAAAATGATCAAACAAATTTTTATAAAACTCTAAACTCATTTTAGTCATTTTCATATATAAATTCATATATGAATATACAAGTACATAGCATTTATTAACTAATTTTTAATAAAATAATTTTCCAAAGTTTTTCACCATAATAATGCTGGTCAAAAAATTAATTCACTATTCATCGAACTTTGAATTATCCAAAATCAGTGAACTACAGTAGTTTTTATTAAAGGAGACAATTGTAATAGAGATGTCAGCTTAGAAGGGGATATGCCTGTCTCTCTCTCTCTCTCTCTCTCTCTCTCTCTCTCTCTCTCTCTCTCTCTCTCTCTCTCTCTCTCTCTCTCTCTCTCTATATATATATATATATATATATATATTTATAGATAGATAGATAGACACACACACACATACATGTATTAGCATTCCTAATTTATCCTTATTACCTTTCCTGTAATAAAACTAGAGGCAGAAGGAGCTGGGCTCATGTAGGTTTTAAGATAATCAAGAAAAGAAGGAAAAAAGAAGTGAAGAAGAAGAAGAAAGCCAAGGATTTAGGTAAAAAATTTGATTTTCCATTATTTCTAACGCAAATCAAGTTGGATTTAAATAAATAAGCTTATAGGCTTGAATGAAAAAATTCTTGTTAATTTACTTGTGGTAAATTGTTAATTTAAGAATTTATATTTAAGTAAGGAATTTGTTGATATTAGATAGTTTGCGAAAGGGCAAGATTTCAATGAATTAAAAAAAACATCCCGATAAAAATCATACAATTATGATAAGATACTCGATCTCTAAGATAAGTACATAATTTGTAAGTCCAATATTTATAAAAAATTTTCCATATTAAGCACGTCATTAGCACCTGCTAATGCTAATAAAGTTATTGCAAATTTAATACATAACTTATTTAAAAGAATTTCATGATATTTATATTACTCAAGTTTTTAAGATTGTGTTATAACATGTACATATTAAAATACCCAGATGTAGACTGTTACATATCATGCTTTTCCTTGAAATACATTAATGTAGGGAGATTAAAAACCTTAAAAGGAATTAGGAGAATTTTCATGTACTTGGGTTAGAGAATATTAAGTTGAATTGATGGCTCCGGGAATTTAACTGGATGAATGAGAACCTCTTAGCTTTAGATTGCAATAGCTGGTAGGCCTGGAGCATTAAGGAGAATCATACAAAACCAAGCTCATCGGATCCTGGAGTTCTAAGGGTTGGACGGGGAATTGGCAGAGAATTGATTGGGGATGGTTATTGCAAAATGTGCATCCAATATCCATCAGATGAAGAGACGTTTTGTAGGCCAATGCAAGGCTTTATTGGGTTAACCTAGTGGCAATCATTGTAAATTGCCAATTCAAGTCTCGAGGGAAGTCCAATGGAGGTTTGCTAAGTATATTGTGTTGTTCTAAGGCCAATAAACTATTGTGCTACTAGCTCCAATTGAACCAACTTGCCACCTTACCAATAAATAGCGATTTCAATCAAATGACCATCATTCAACAACCTTGAATGACTAAGGATGATGGTTACTAGGGGTGCAAGTGAGCCAAGCCAACTTGTGAGCCAGCTCCAGCTTGCCTCATTAAGTGGCTTGTGAGCTAAGCTTAATGAGCTAACAAGCCAAGCTCAAGCTAGCCCTGACTCGAATAATTAACCGGCTTGTTTAAAAAGAAAATATTGATATTAAATATACCCAAACTATATTAAATTTTAAGAATCTATTTTTAAGGGGCTGTTGGGGAATGGATTGATGCTAGATTTAAACTGAATCCTACCAGACAGTCATTTTGCTCAAAATAAATCCCACAATTTCATAAATACGAATTCCACGGATTTCGGCTGTAAATACCATAAATCATAAATTCTACGAATAGGTGGATTTAACTTCGTGGGGCTTGAGATTTAAGTTCGCGGGCTTCCGGTTGTTTCCACAGGCCATAACTACTTCCAAAATCCTTCTTGAAGTTGCCAAACAGTTCTATCGTATTTACAGGATTTAGTAAATTCGTGGCCACATAAATTTCTAGCTTTAACCCATTTAGGATTTAGTAAATCTGGATTTTGCGGGATTTACTAAATCTTAATAGCTTAGATAGCATTTGTTGCCTGACATACCCTAAATCATTAAAAATATTTAAAAATGATATTTTATAATTTATATCAAGTTTCTTTTTATTTCATAATTGCTTATTTTATATATCATTTTATTATAACATTAGCTTTTTTTTTCTCTTTTATAATAAACAAGTTGATTCGAACTCATAGACTTAAGCACGAGCTCAAGCTCAATTAATTAATTAGGTTTAAGCTCAAGCTCTAGCCAAGAATGGCTCAAGCTTGACTCAACTCGTTTACTCTCTTAATGGTGATCAACACAGATTAGATAGGGCATGTACATAACAATGCCAAATATTTTAAAAATTTATAAAATTTTTGTTATGCAGACGAATTGACATATAATGATGATAATTTGTACAAAAATAGGTAAAATATTTTACAGGATGAGCCCCAATAAGTACGAAAAAAAGATCCCCAAGTCTTAATTATGCAAATTTAATACAATATAGTTCAAACATGAATTGATGGGCTATTTATTATGGTCAACGAGCTCGGTGATAAATAAATGATATGAATATGACAAATATAAATAAAAGAATATGTATATGACAAATCTTATAAAGACATCGTATAATACTACTCATACTATAAAAAGTATGAATGAAAATATAAATGAGTGAAAACGAATAATTTTCAAACCAACAATTGACTATCCGAATGCATTAAATATTTGATATTTATAAGATATATTTTATTTTCTTACATAAAGATTACTAATGATTGTGTCTCTTAATAATATAATTATAAAATTGTCTTGATTTAAAATATACATAATAAATTAGTATTATCTATAATTAATAATCTTCAAATTAATTAAATATATGAACATGTATATTATCATTTTGTTTTCTTGTATTAGAATTTTTTATCATCTAGCTTTTAGCTCATCAAACATTATGTTGATTATTATTTCAAGCAAGAAAAAGGAAGCAAAAGGAACAGGTGAGATTATAGTCAAGTGACTCATTTTTGTTTTATATCCTCTAATTTTGAGGTACAGTTTTAGAAGTATGTTAAAAAAATAATGCACATAATGTAAATTAAAGCCTTTTGATATGTATAAATTTTCTATGAAATTTATTAGAAGTACAATAGTCTATTTGATAATTTATATTATGCATGCTTCTGTATTAATGATTATATGAAATTTATTTAGATAACTATGGAAGAATAGTTATGTTCTGTGATGATTTAATGAGACAACTTTTACTCGATCTTGATTAGTGAAATGAGAATGGGTGTTGGTAAAAAAAATGTGTTTGGTTGGTTTGGTTTTCTGTCTTTGTTACGTCAAAAGGATCCAAAAAATGGCATAAGAGAATCTAAGAATAACATAATTTTTTAAAAAATTATAATATAATACCTACAACTGAAAAAATTATATATTATATGTAGTACCGCCATGCATTGATTGGGTTACTTTCTTGTGCAAGGGGAAGTAAGCAACTTTCAGCGAAAAATAGCATTCATATTTCTCTGTTGCCGCTCATTTCACTTACTAATTTTCTATACTATCCTGGCGGTGTCATAACAAATATGCCTTCACAATAAGAGAAAATATACATGAATTAAATGATGTTAATTGGGAACAAACATACCTTTCTCCATATGTCAAAATCTGCCGTCCTATGTCCTCTGATGCTACCATCTGCATAATGAAATACCAAAATTTAGTAAAATATATTCAGAAGCAGCAACTGTAGCATGTCTATGTCAGGAGTATATTATGAAGCACATACTCTTGATTCCAGATTCATCAAAACAGCAGATTTGGTGGCCTGTTTAGCACGATCTAGTTCCACCTGGTCAACTGTAGAAATAAATCCTTAGACCGGTAATGCAACTCCAACTTCATGGATAAAGTACAAGGAGATAAGTTCAGTAACATACCTTGTCCAGGTGTAGCAGCAGCTAGCAACTCCTTGGCCGCAATGTCTACAGCTTTAGAAATAAAATCTGAACCCTAAATTAGGAGGTAGGACACTTACTAAAGAGTAATAATCTATTAATGATAGATTGATACTGCAATTGTTTACAGAAATTAAAAAAAAAAGTATATTGAGCAAAAACAGAACAACGTGCATGAATATAGGCAGAATCCCTCAAACAAATAAAAAGCTCCCACAAAATCGATTAATAAATGCCTCTTTGGAACTCAGGTATGCAATAGTACCTTATAGATCAGGAGCACATCAAGAAAAAACTTTTAATGAAAACATTAAAAATGGGCCTAAAAATAGTTGAACTTCGAACATTATCTAGAGGGAAATCCAAGATAAAGAGGCATATCAATACACCACGGAAATCTTAAATACAAGTTGATAACATTCGCCGACTCTCTCATCGCAATTTCTAGAGTCAAGTGGACTACAGTGTCAAATATGAACTTCCAGGTAAAGGTAGCGACAGATCAAGTAAAGTTTGCTCAGTTCATCTCCAGAGCTGTCTTTGACCAAAAGGAGATACATAGATATATAGTCTGCACATAGCAGGCTGCAAAATGCTAAATTCAACAGAATCCTGCATTTTGTTGATCTTCAGTCCGTACTATAGTGAGAAAAGCTGCAGTTAATCAAGCACTCAAATGCTCCTTCTCTTGTCATGCTGCATGTCGGAACCTAAATCCACTGACCTTAATAAAAAAAAATAATGGGCCCTAACGCCCACTTCAAACAATCTAATGAAAGCCTAACAGTCTTTCCATCATGTGCAAATAGATGCAGAGATGATTTAACAAAGGATTCATGCACCAGATTGATGCAATACAAAATAGCAAGCTCAGCTCAAAAAGATCAAATTTTCATAGGCCAATTCAAAGGATTTAATCATACCATAAAACAAAGTATGATTTATTTTTAGCTCATTTCTAATTTTTTTCCAAATTGTTATATCTTTTAGCTAATTAAGCTTATTAGATTTAATTGTCAAAATGTCATTGTAGAAAATAAAACAATAGAAAAACTCTCAAGAATCTTCATTTTTCTTTATACAAGAGTGGAGATATATATAAATCTCCTATAGGCATCACAAAATAGAAATAAAATCAAAATAGGAGAGAAAAATAAATAGGGCCCGGTGATCCTTTAGGAAAGCGCTGTCGTTGCCGGTCCCAAGCCCGAATGTGAAAAGTGGAGGGTTGCATTAGGTAGTCGACAGCCAGCGTAAAACTTGTCGAAAAAAATCATGACATGAATCCTTTTGATCATTGTGTAAGTGATATGGCGTCCCCTGGAAGCGATGTGTCGTATAGCCTGAATACAGTGAAAAGTGTATAAGGGCCGCTACACCGACGCCCGGGTGTAGTGTTAAATAAGCAGAGGTTTCCACATTACGGACGAATGCGGGTAAAGAAGTTAGTCCATGAAACTAATGAAACTAATATTAGGATGTAATTTTGGAATATAGGTACTCTCAATGGTAAATTAATGAAATTAGTTGATATTATGATTCATAGGAAAATTAATATTTTATGTATTCAAGAAGCTTAGTGAGTTGAAGAAAAGGCTAAGGAGATTGATAATTTAGGTTTTAAACTTTGGTATTCTGGTAAGAGTCGCATTAGAAATGGTGTAGGTGTAATTATAATTAAGAGTTTGAAAGATGATGTTGTAAAAATTAATAGAGTTGGAGATAAAATTATAACTTTTAATATTATCATTGATACTAAGATTTTTAATATTATAAGTGCTTATGCTCCTCAAGTAAGTTTAGATACAGGGTCTAAAGATAAATTTTTGAATGACTTAGAAAACTTAATTCAGATGATATCTCTTGAAGAAAAAATTTTTATTGGAGGAGATTTAAATGGACATGTCGGTAGAGTTGTAGAAGACTTCAGAAATATTCATGGTGGCTATGGTTTTGAAGTAACTAATGAAGAAGGTAGAGCTATTTTAGATTTTGTTTTAGCGTATGATTTTGTTATTACTAATACTTTATTCAAGAAAATGGATAAACATCTTATTACTTATAAGAGTGGATCTAATAAAACACAATTTGATTATTTTCTTATGAGAAGAAGAGATCTTCGCGATTGTAAAGATTGTAAGGTCATTCCAAGTGAAAATTTAAGTACCCAACATCGTTTATTAGTTCTAGATTTTAAGATTAAGAGTTGTAAAATAAAGAATATTATGACTCATCATCGCAGAATTAGATGGAGAAACTTAAAAAACACAAATAAAATTATTTTTATGAGTAAAATTCTAAATTTCAAAACTTGGGATATTCATGAAGCAAATGTTATGTGGGATAAAGTAATAAACACTATTAAACAAGTAGCAAAAAATGTGCTTGGACAATCAAAAGAAATAGCAAGAGATGTGCTTGGAGAATAAGAAAAAAAAATTATAAATAAAAATAGTTGATGGTAGAATAATAATGTGCAAGAAAAGATAAAATATAAGAAGTTATGTTGTAAAAATTGGTTTAAATGTAAAAACTTAGAGAAATGGGAAAAATATCAAACGGCCCGCAAGGAGTATAAAAGAACAATTTGTGATGCTAAAAATATTGTTTTTAATGATCTTTATAATAGATTTGATATTAAGGAGAGTGAAAAATATATGTATAAACTAGCCAAACAATGAGAATAAAAGTAAAGATTTAACTCAAGTAAAGTGTATTAAAGATGAAAATCAAAAAGAACTTTTCTTAGAAAAAGATATTCAACATAGGTGGGTGAGTTACTTTGATAAACTTTTTAATGAAGTTTCTGAAAATACGATCGATCTTAGTGATCTTAATATCGTGAATAATAATAAAACGTTTCATTTTTATCGTCGCATTAGTAAAAAAGAAGTTGAGGTAGCTTTAAAGAAAACCGAGGGTGGAAATTCTGTAGGACCTGATGATATTCTAATTGAAGTGTGGAAATATTTTAGAGATTTGGGTGTTTCTTGGCTTACTAAACTCTTTGATATTATTTTAAAAACTAAAAGATGTTGAGTGGAGAGAGTATTTTGGTCCCCATTTTTAAGAATAAAAGAGATGCACAAGAGTGTACAAATTATAAAAGAATTAAATTGATGTGTCATACTTTAAAGTTATGGGAGAGGATAGTTGAACATAGGTTAAGACGCATCACAAAGATTTCTCATAATCAATTTGGATTTATGTCAGGCAGGTCTACTATGGAAGCTATACATTTATTCAGAGGTTTGATGGAGAAGTTCAGAGATAATAAGGAGAATCTACATTTGATAGTCATTAAATATATGCATACCAGAGCTGTTACTTGTGTTCAAACTGAAGGAAATTTGACAAAATATATTCCTATTTCTGTTGGATTACATCAGAGATCGGCTTTAAGCCCATATCTTTTTCTTTAGTTATGGATGGTCTTACTGGACATCTACAGGAGGATGTACCTTGGTGTATGCTTTTTGTTGATGATATCCTTCTCGTGGATGAAACGAGAGAAAAAGCCTAGGGAAAACTTGAATTATGGAGGTCTACATTGGAGTCTAAAAGCCTTCATTTAAGTAGAACTAAAGCTAAATAGATGGAATGTAATTTTAGTAGTAATAGCTCTAGTGACAGAAGTGTGACTGGGTGATCAAATTATTAAAAGGAAAGACGATTTAGATATCTTGGGTCCGTTGTTCAAAGCGATGGTGATATAGATGGAGATGTTAATAGTAGAATTCAAGTTGGTTGGTTGAAGTGGAGAAATGCTTCGGGCCTTTTGTGTGATAGAAAAGTACCGCTTAGACTGAAAGGAAAATTTTATAAGACGGTGGTGAGACCTGCAATGCTATATGTCGCTGAATGTTGGCCTTTAAAAGAGAGCTTGATAATAAGTTAAGTGTTGCCGGGATGAGAATGATTAGGTGGATGAGTGGTTTTACACTTAGAAGAGACAAAATGCAAAATGAATATATCCGTAATAGGGTTGGTGTAGCTCCTGTTTGGTGTAGTAGCTCCTGTGACGGACAAAATTAGAGAAAGTCGTCTTAGATGACTTGGTCACATTAATCGTCGACCATCTGATGATCTAATTAGGAGAGTAGATGTTTTAGATTCGACTTGCATTAAGAAAGGTAGAGGTAAGCCTAGGAAGACTTGGGCTTATTGTATTAAAAAAGATCTTAATTTTCTAGAACTAAATAAAAATATGACACTAAATAGGACTCAATGGAGAAAAAGGATTCATGTAGTCGACCCCACGTAGTGGCGACCCCACTTTGTTGTTGTTGTTGTTGTTGATCCTTTAGGAAAGCGCACATACTAAAAAATGTGGGTCATAGAGTGACAGATCTAACGATATAGAGCCACGATTCATATGCCTTAAAATTCTTCGTTATTTGACGGCCATAAGTAAATAGACCCAACAGTATAAAGTATTGCTTTATGTGTCTTAAGTTGTTTGTTATGATTGGAGCAAAACTTCAACACTCCCCCTTAAATTGGATGGTAGGGATCAACCATTACAAGTTTCCTTAAGATATCTTTTAAATATCGGTGTACAATCATTTGTTGAATATGTCGTCCATACCGTTTTTATTTAAGATTGTCATGTATCTATATCAGTTCTTTTATCAAAGCCCATTTTTTGTCCAAGTTCAGTTGGAGTTTCACACGGCTTGCACTTTATCGTCTTGGTTTATTTCAGTAGATCCATAACATATTTATATTGGGAGAGAAATATAAAAGACTAACTGATTTTCGGTGGCATGGTGTTCTAAAACCATGTCATGATCATGGAATCATATTCTACTCAAAGTAAGAACTTTAGATCTCTGGACTCGAGAGAAAGATCCATAAGATGTTGAATCTTTTCATTTTCCTTTAGAAGGTATTCATGATTTGAACTATTTAACACAATTTTTTTTCTATTCAATTGATATAATGCTTGAAATAATTGGAGTTCTCCTTTGGTCTAATTTTCACCATTAATCATGAATCCGTTCTTTTGAAGGGAAGTCGAAGAATAAGATGAGATCCGAAGTTGAGATACTAACCTTAGAGAATAAGAACAAAA